TATTATTTTTGTATAGAGATAACAAACTGAAAAGTACCAATTGTTTTTCCATGGAAATCGTCGTTCACAATAATATTAGTCGAAGTGAATTTTTTGCACTTATTCTTATCTAAGATTGCGCTAATACCAGGGATTAAGAATTACAGATCTCAGATAAGATACAAGCAACATAATCTGAAAGGTATCTCTTTTGAAGAACTATTTGTAGCGAAAATAGATCAGAAATTAGGATTCCGTTACTGTTAATCATTTACTGCAACACACCATCGACTGATATAAAAATATTTACAAATTTATAATTACAAAAGAGCGAAAAATTCTAACGAAATTCGGCCTAGTGTGCTTTGTCTATACATTTGTTTAATTATTTGTTTCATGGCGTTTCTAGAATCTAGAATATGTTTTGTTTCTATCATGTTTTTAGAAGCTAAGAAATTGTTCTATCTATACTGTTTTTAGAAACCCATGAAAGACAAAGAAAAGGAAGTTTTTGTAGGTTAAGTTGATATTTGTTACTGTGAACTGTCAAAGTTGTCAAAGTCTGTAAACTGTTCTGTACCAAATTCAATACAATATACAAATTTATGAATAATTATAAAGCGAACGTATTTATTCTATCATTCTTTTATTATTTTTTTTAGCAGTGCCGATTGGACAAGCGTTTAGAGAAAAAACAACGATCCGTTAAATTTTTCGACTGTACACTGCGCGCGTTCAATACCAAAAAGTAAAAGTGAGTTTTTTTTTCAGCTGGACTGGAACCACTCCACCGGCTTTGGTTACGCGTTGTTACGGATTAATTTCGAGTGGACAATTTCAGACAACAAAAAAGGTGCCCGCAAATCTACCCAACAATACCAGCGACATAGGACTTGATACCGTTCCATATATGAAAACGTTTCTTGTATAGAAAGTCGATTGCACTTGGCCTTCGAGTTTCATACCAGCAATGGATAGTGGCTGTTACATAAAACGGGTTTAGTCACGTGGAAAAAATAGTTTTTACTAAATTATTTTGTAGGTTCGAGCTGGTGTTTTGACAATGTTAATAAAGTGCCGGACACGAAATAAAAAGTACACAAAATGCCTGCCTGATTCTTAGAACGTACAATATTCCTAGTCTTTTTCGCTTTTCTATCTAGAAAAAATTGGTAAAGATGAAAGAAATACACACATTAAAGAACAGTGGAACGTTGAATAAACATACACTGTTTCCATGGCAACCTAGGCTCGACTGAAAAAAAATCGAATTATTCACTTTAACAAAGAGCGCTTTGAAAACAAAACTATTACTTCGGACGATACTTTGACAGCTTAGTTAAATTTTCATTGACACTGAAGTTTAGGTAATTGAAAATACAATTTTGACATGAAACGAAGACCGCAAAGAGCGGGAACTTATTGATTGATTAATTAATTTGAAAAATATCTGGTTTTATTTCATGTAATAATTACATTTTTAACGCTGTTAATAAAAATTTAACTGAGCTGTCAAAATTTCGTTAAATGTATTAGTTGGGACGTTTTGTTTTCAAAGCACTTGTAAAATGGATGAATTCGACCGATCGTCGAGTTTTGTGCAAATGACAACGTTAAGTAGAAGGTTTTTTTTAAATTTAAATAGAGTTCCATTAATATAATTTAGTATTTTCCGCGGGAAACGCGGTTGCCTGCCAGTTGCGCCACTACCGCGTTGTCTGTATAGTTTTGAATGGAGTTAATTTTCACAAACTGGAATTTGTATATACGTAAAAAAATAGCAAGTGTACACGAGTGGCTGACATGCGAACTGTAGAAAAGTATATACATGGTGTATAGGTCGCTTAGAGGCATTTATGGAGATAGAAAAAAAGATAAATATTATGGGGAAAAAAGAGACATTCCATTTAATATACGTAACATATGAGGATTAGGTATTAATAACTGAAACTGTTTATTAGTTTTGTAAATTGGGAAAGTTTTTATGAGGAGAGAACTAGACAAGCGTAAAGATAAATAAAACATTCTATAAACATCATTGTAAGCTAGGGATATGTTCTGGAAATTTTGACAATAAACTAATGCAAAAAATTAAAGGGTCAAAAGAATATCCGAAATTTTTCCATGAATTTTGACTTATTTAGGTGAAAAATGGTCGTATCGGGAATTAAAAAAAACATTTTGAAGCTCTAAGAATTTAGTTTTTAGATCTTACGGTTGAAATTATTTAGGAGCTACGGTTTTCATGCAATTCTAAGAAATAGCGCGACAAAAAAATTTGCAAATTATTTTTTCCGAGTTCACGGACTTGGAAACATTTTTTTCAGCTGAGCCATTGCATAGACCAGATGGCTTGTTATTCAGCTTCAATTTCCTTTTTTTAAAATTTCTATACGACCATTTTTCATAAAAATATCGGACTTTTAATGGAAAAGGATCCTTTTGTCTTCAATCATCGATATCTCGGCGACAAAAGATCGTACAGAGAATTGAAGGGCACTTTCGAAAACTGGAATAAATTTCCTTTAACATGTTGCCGCCAACTCTTCGGGAAAAATTTTTTTTCGTCTTTTACATGAATTTTAAATACCAAAAAAGGGTAATTTATGTTTTTTTAGAGAATTGGCTAAATTAGAAATATTCCCGAAATATTCCACTGTGAAGTTTCATCTCGATCTAGCGAACCGTTTGTTTGTTTGAAACAGTCAAACTTTTGAAAAAAATTAGTCACGTCTTTTTAGCTTACACTTCATAATCATGATTAAAATGAATAAAAAAATGTCTTTGAAAATGTTCTCACACTTTTACCGCAAATAACGTTTAAATTGATGAAAAAAAAAAATTTATTTTCGAAATTTTTTAAGTTTTTTTTTGTTTTTTTTTGGAAACCATTGGACATTGAAGAAAACAAAATCCAATTGTTTCCAGCACGATTCGGCTTTTTAAATTAAAATTAATGTTGATGACCCAAACCAGATTTCGACCCCGATTCATACCTTTTTTGAGACAAATTTCTAATTAATTTTTGTACAGTCACTTAAAAACCGTTTTTTCAAAACTACCCTTATTTCATTGGAAAAAAAATTCAATTTTTTTTTCCATCAATTTAAAGTTTTTTGCGGTAAAAATATGAGAACCTCAAAAATTTTTTTTTCCTATTTTAATCATGATTATGAAGTGTTTAAGCTCAAAAAACGTGACCCTTAATTTTTTTCAAATGTTTGACTGAATTACCCGTTTCTTGTAAAAGATGAAAAAAAATTTCTTTCCGAAAAGTTGCGGCAGCATTTTATAAGTTCATTCCAGTTTTCGAAACTGCATTTCAATTCTCTGCCGTCGATGATTGAAGGCAAAAGGATTAAAAGTCCGATATTTCGATGAAAAATGGTGGTTTCGAAAAAATTAAAGGAAATTGAAGCTGAATAAACAAGCTATCTGGTCCATGCAAGCTGTTAGCTGAAAAAAAAATTTCCAAGCCCGTGGACTCGGAAAAAAAAGAAAATTTGCAAAATGTTTTTGTCGCGCTATTTCTTAGAATTGCATGATGAAAGTAGCTCCTAAAAAAATTCGACGAAAGATCTAAAAACTAGAATCTTAGAGCTTCAAAATGCTTTTTTTTTTAATTCCCGATACGACCATTTTTCACCGAAATACAGTGTCAAAAATCACAGAAAAATTCCGGAAATTCTTTTGACCCCTTTTATCTGACATCCACATTCGTATTACTTTTTAATTATTAAATCTATTTCAAATTTACTAATATTATCATCCTAATTATAACAATCTTATACTTTGAAAAAAATACATCATATTTCCCGAAAATTGTAGACAAATTATCTTAAAATGTTATCTGGAACACGTTGATTACACCTATCAAGATCTCAAAACTTTTTACTTCATTGATTACTCGCCTTATTTTTTTATATTCATAAAAAATATTTCCTTTAACTATGACCGAAAACCTTATCACTCAAGGATTTGACTTTCTCGGCAAATTGTTCACATAAATAAACTTAATTTTAAAATCATAGGCCAACTTTTTATTTGATGTGATAGACGACTGTTATTTCCAAAGGCAAAGTTGTGGGAAATAACTTGATTAAGAAAAATTTACAAATAATTCATTCCGGTGTTGCCAGATTTCTGCAGTAGCTACTAAAATGATATTTTACTAAATGGCAGACCTTGCATATGATATTGAAAAATAGGAAACGATATTCAAAAATCGCTGCGGATTATCAAGAGAATTTGGTGGCCAATTCCTCATGGGTCGGCTGGAAGAAAGAACTGCGACCTTGTCAGCAAACTGAAAGCCTGTTTGCCGTGATGAAATCGGTATAAGGAAATTGCACTAAAGGTTACCACCTCTTACTCCGACAGGGGAGCGTCCCATGGGTAGCGCCGCAAAGGTGCAATTTTTTTTAGATCCATAATTGCAATAGAATATTAGAATCGTTTTTGCATTAAGAGGACCAGAAAATACGTTGAGAAAATGTAAGTGTAGGTACGTATGTTGAAACAGCGAAACTGATAAACACATCATTATAAGGAGTTGCAACACAGATACTTAACATTTTAGACTACAATATGCAGATATTTTCAAACAAATGCTTTACGTATAGGTAGACACTTTCACTTTGGATATATACTACTGAAGACTTATTCATTAGATAGGTATATGACAAAATCAAAACAAGTTTTATTATATAATGAAGTGTTTTATAATTTTTAATAATCGTTTGACATAGTTTCATAAGCTCTGAAAATTATATCGTTATCAGTACCTACAATTACATTGTACAATAAAAAATTGCAATATAACATACTTGGTTAATTAGCTGTTGTTTGAAAAAGTAAATACTGAAATATATTGCGGAAGAAAACAGGAATTTGCCACATAGATATTTGGCGACTGTCATGTTTTTTCGTGGGGTTGCCAGGGAGGCTTTTCCCGTTAAGATATTAGGTTATGTGACTCTCGCCGACCCCAAATTAATAATTAGAGCGGGATTTCAACTTACCACACATATTTCCTCACAAGTTAGGTACCACGAACACAACAAACTGACGCAACGGTATTTATTCTAGCACTAAAACGCGAAATTGGTTGTGTACCTTTTTATACGTAACGTCAAGTCGCCGACCTGCTATCAACTGCATATGACGTAGTGTACGAGGGTGGTGCGGGTAGTAATCCGATGTAGTATAACTTACGCCTTTATAGAAATCTTCTTTATCTCACGATGGGAATTTAAGAGGTAAGTAAATTTAAATCTGATAATGTTGAACTTTGGAAATATTAGTTTTTAAACATTTTTAATAACTTCTTACTTGAACATTGAAAATGTAAATACTCTAATTTTTTTGTGTAATCACTTACTGGATTGATACCTGGAATTTGATTTTCATATAATTTAAACAAAGATGTTCTATTACAAATGTGAAGGACTTAGGGAAATTTGATAAGATATCAATCACAGTAATAATGACTTGTATATTAAAAATATACGATTTATTACAGCGTAATGGGTTATTACAACTTACTTAAATTAAACATTTTTATTATCATTACTTGCTTCATAAGCATTTTTAACAACTAGTAAATGGGGTAGTTTGTAAATCATTACCATAATACAATCAGAATGATGAGCGATGATAAGTTGTTATAAACCACAGTATACTAATTTAGTATACTGTGTTATAAACGTAGAAACCTGATTATATTAATACGCCCGAGCACAACGATAACGAGCTGTCGATTTACGATTTTTATTTAGGGATAACTTCTGGACAAAATGTTAATTCCCTTTTTAAATATAGAACTTTTTACTTTTAAACTGTGTGACACTTGTGTATTAGTGATTTATATTATAAAAATTAAATACATATAGCATCCTCTAAAATATAGGAATGAAAGATCTCTAATTTAGAACAGCTTTGGTTACAATGCGTCTAAGTATACTAAGTACCTATATATTCATGTACCTAGAAGAAATGGACAGAATGGTTTTGTTAATTTTTTTCAGCTTGGTTTGGATTATTAATTTTGAAACATATTTCTAAGTAAATAGGTACTTTGTTTAAAACTTTTTTTTTAATTCACTAGCAAAGCACATTTTGATATTTTATTTGCATTTTACGTACCGCTTGTAATTTTTTAAATAACTGAGTGTTTACAAACGTGGTCTAGTTAGTTCGTATTTTTCGATATGCCCTGGTAACACCATTTACTGTCACCGAACAAGTTGAAGGAGGGATAAGAAAAAAGGGTAAGTAAGAATGAAATCTTGTAACATGGAACCTTACCCAGCACCAGCGGAAGTAGTTCTAAGGACCCGCCAGCGATTCTAATAGCTACTGAATGCTGAATAGGATTGTTTGAGACTTAATTTGCCCTTGATTTTATCCTACAAGTTCAAAGAAAGAATCGGAAAGTGGAAATTGTCCCGCAAATTCTCGTAATTTTTCATTGAACCTTCGATCAAATCAACCAATGGGAAGCGAGACCCCATGCAAATCTTCTGTCAAATGTCAGATCGCCCTGTCAATTAACCTTCATTGTTTACGTCTGTTATTTTTAAATAAATTGACTTAAGTAGTTTTATACGACTCCGTTAATTTAGTACCGTTTCATAAAGAAAATGGCAACTCTAGAAGATAAAATACTGGGCGAAAAGCTGCACAACTACTGCAGTAGCAGCGAAGAGAGCGACAACGAAAATTCTAATTCGGATTCTGAGGAGGCAAATAAACAAAAAGGTGCCACACCAGGAACGACTTCTCCCCCGGAAATTAATAAATGGGAAGGCACTTCGACCAACACGGGCCCCAAAGGTGTAATAAAAGATTGGCAAAGGTACAAGCAACTAGAGAACGAAAAGAGGGAGGAAGATGAAAGGGAGAGAATCGAATTGATGAAGAAATTGACTCTGTCTGTCCAATCGGCCTTAGATGAGGAAAGGGAAAAGGCTGCTCTGGAAGATCCAGATCTTGCTGAACTGCTTAGCGATGAGTTCTTAGTTAAATATCAGAAGCAACGCATGCAAGAAATGCTCCAACAGACTAATCACAACATAAAGTTTGGTAAGTTGTCCGTTAAAGTAGTTAATGCCTTTTGTTGGTGTCATTGAGGTGTAGGTGGAAACTAATTGATGGTTATTTCTGTAGATGACGTCTGTTCCAAGTAACTGTTACATGATTGTTTAAAATTAATTTAAAGTACATTTTGTACATTGTAACAGAAGCTAATAACAGTAGGTCAATTTTTTTACTGAATACAATATGGAAATGACCGTTATTTTTGTTGTGAACAACACGAAAGTGATTAAAGTTCTATTTCATTGTTAAAGGCGACTTGATCTTCTTGAAGAACGGCCAAGAATATCTCGACGCCATCGACAAAGAACACAAGTCCGTAATGATAATCATTCACATATACGAAGACAACGTGGAAGCGTGTCGTGCTATGAACGCTTGCCTTAAGGTCCTTTGCAAGATTTACGAAAACGTCAAATTTTGTGCCATTCACGGATCGAAAGCTGGCATCAGCCGACAGTTCAAGACCGACGGGGTCCCCGCTTTGTTAGTGTACAAGTCTGGGAATCTCGTCGGTAACTTTGTACGGTTGTCCGACGACCTGGGCAATGACTTTCAACCCGAGGACGTGCAGGGACATCTCGTCGAACACGGATTGTTAGAAGATAAATCCTGTACCCCTGTTCTGATCAAAGGCGCTTCGTCAGGTAGCGATAGCGATTAAACGGACCAAAACCTTGGGACGGTGCTTTTTTTTTGTAAGTTTTCCTGACGTTACTGACGTACGACGTTATTTGGCTCAAACGTATGCCTTGTCAGGACTCATTGATTTTTTATTTTTTATAGATCTTGATCGGGTATCATCTTTGAGATGTTTTTTTGGTTTTTGCAGTATTATGTAGTTTTTTTTTACCCGTCATTTACGGATCGTTTTATTTCGACACAACTGTATTCTCATAAGGTGTTCATATTAAGAAAATATGTACTTGTAAGTGTATATTTAGAGGAATTAAACCATTATATTAATGGTGCAAATCGAGGTAACATATTGCAAAATCCTTACCAGTTTATTTTTTAAAACGTGATTTTCATGGAGGCTACAAATACCGGACCTTTGTATTTTTTATATTATTTTTATGCGGTATCTTTGTATTTTGTAATTAAATTACGAAGAAATTAAATATGGCTTGTCTAATATTTTGTATTTTGCTACCTGCGATATTTTAACGGTCATGTTTCAGTTTTTAAATAAAATTATTTCGGTCGGACAAAAAATTTGAAGCATTTCCTTTTAAATTCGTAGCGACAAAGTCAAAGCGATGACGTTGCATGTTTATTAATTACTTAAAAGCTCCAGATAAAAATATTTAAAACTGAGTGATCAAAAGTACAAATTTAGAAAACAGGAAAATAACGTTTTCCAAATAAATTTCTTGAACGATTTTTATGTATATTTTTTGTTGTTTTATTTTACAAATATCGTAATTTATCAAATTAATTTTCGGGTCAGCATCGACTCGACGTCGGCCACCAAAATTAGTGTCGTTAGTGATCAGTATTAAAATCTGACGCTCGAAACGAGCACGAGACTATTATCGTACCATAAGAGAGGCAAGTAATTTTGTGATCTCCACTTCTCCATAGTACCCAGTGCTTTGTTGTTATATATTTCGTTTATGTGATATGTTGCCGTATTCCGTATGTTCCTGTAACTCGGAAACGTATGGATCGTAAAAATTTGATGTCGAAAGGTTATATTATTGTGTCTGTTCCGGTATGACGTCTGTCAGACTGCGCGCCTCGAGAGATTTTAAAATGTAATTCTACTTAGGAAGCGTTATTTCGGGACTGCACTTAGTCGTATGATAATTTACCTTAAGATTAAGTACAGAATATAAATTTCATTAATCATATCCGTGAATATTTCACGTCTATTTAGGTGCGTAAACATCTCTAGTTATTTATATGGTTGTGGTCTTTGTATAGTCAGTATCGAGCGTAATCGATTCTCAGTATCTTAGTCTTTGGACATCCTTAAGGTAAAACTGACTAAAACATGTTATATTCTCCTACTTTTCTACTTCCGTGTATCGGTGCAATAAAATGTATACAGTTTGTATGTTGTTTTATTTAAAATTAATATATTTCTTTGTCGTTCTTAAAGAAAAAGACATATTGGTTAAATAAGGTATATTTCTTCGAAAATCGCAAATATATAAACATATGAAAGTTACAAACTACTTAATATTAACTCGATAAAAAACTACGATTCATATAATAGAAAAAAGTATTTACAATGTGTTTAACGTCTACATTAGTTTTTTAAATGACTATATAACAGTTTCTTCTTCTCAATTGACGACTTGTACTGCAGGTAAGACTTTAGAATATCGTTGTATTGCTTACAGGACACTTGGTTGTATTTTTCCTTCAGGTTTTTTAATTCCCATATCTCCATTTCACAGTCCTTCTGTTGCTCTTTGATGTCCTTGATCAGCTCCTTATAAGCTTTCAGGGAACTACTCGTTTCTGTAAATATGTCGATCCTTATCTTCTCTTGTGCTAATAGTGATTTTAAATTATTCATTTTCTGCTCTACCTGACATTCCTTTATTTTTTGTTCAGTCACTTGCGGCAACTTTTTTAATCTTAAATTAGATATCTCTTCTAACAGTTCTAGTAGATTCAGTAAATTTTTTACATATTGCTCTTGTTCCGACACAAGTTTATTTTTATATTCTATTAAAACTTTATCATCCGATGCCATTTGTAGGGAGCTGGGAGTTTCAAACGCCGTGTTGACATCTTTATTAGTTATTTTATGGAACTCCCCGCAAATATCCTTATACTTGCAATCCAACTTTAATTCTAAAATTTTCTGGAGTTGATGTCTCTCAATATAATTTAATTCTTGTTCATTTATGCCACAGATGCCAAATAAAGTTGTGCTTTCCTTAGAAGTATACTCGTCTAAGAATAAAGTTTGTGTGGCACTTCCTCCTAACAATATATCTCTTACTTTGTCCTTTAAACTTCGATCTAAATCACTGCTCTCGTTGACACATTCCTCTAGTGTATCAGATATGATTTTGTATTGAACATATTTGTTTTTTTCTAAGTTTAAAAACTCGTACACATCGTTAACCTCTTGTTCTTGGGCGTTGCTTAATGTTGTAGAAGTTTCTCTCGCATTAGAAGACTCAATGCTTACACTTGTTCCCACAACATCAGACATAATTTATGTTACTTATAACAACTACATTAGTAAAAAAGCTTTATGATGATTTCAAATAAAAACGATACGTCAAATATGTTGTATGTTTGTATGACATTAACGAGCCGCAGGCGCAGGAGTTAGGTTCACCAACAAAACTTCGTTGGTGTTGGTAATAATGAAAACTGTGAAGAATATAACAGTAAAACAACATAAAAAGGAAATTAAAACAAAATGGTACCTATCAGTTCTAAATTAAATTGACAACAAATATTTAGAATTCACATCAGAAAATGAGAAAAATATATCAACGAATCATAATATTATTATCATATCCTTGTTCATGTTTAATCTAGGTGTTCTAGTGTGCGTTCCGCAATTAGCTCCAGTCTTCGAGCATATACTACTGGAGGTAGCATGCCATTGCGAAAAGTGTGGCTGAGTGTGCGAGAGAGACAGACAGTATCTCTGTACATGCTGTTTCATTCTTCGCTTCAACAACGGGAGCTAATGAGTGCGAACATTCATTTCCAACCAATAGCGTGCGTGCTAGAGCGAGAGAGCACGTACGGAAATTTTGTCTCTTTCTCACACACTCAGCCACACTTTTCGCAATGGCATGCAACCTCTTGTAGTATTGCTTGAAGGTCCCAGTAGAATTTCACTAAAATTTTTGTGAAGAGGGGTCTCTCGCATGTTCCCAGCTCCTCTTAACAAAAATATTTAGAAGCTAATTAATTACGGAACGCACCCCTAGGTTGCTTAGTTGGTGTTGGTAGTGTACGTACCCAAAAAAATAAATAATAATACATATAAAAAACATTTACCGTTATAATCTTTTGAAAATCTTAAATCTGGTTTAATCTATATAATTTAAAAATATCATCACAATAAGTTATATTCAAAGTAAATACAAAATATTTTTCTAATGAATATTTCTGGTGAGATATAACTAATGATTCATTTTTGAATCCCATCAGCGGGCTTATGCGCAACAGTCAACAGTCACGATATATTCGAATGTCATGTCATAAGACATGCGATTTGCGAATGGGATAATTGAATGAAATAAAAATGTTTTAATGATCTTGACGATAGTAAATTATTCCTCGATATGACTCGAACGCGTGAATGTGATAACAACAAAAGTGATAGTGTGTAATTTACCGTATACCCGTATAGAAGAATATGTGCTGATTTTGTGTAAGGTGCAATATCTAGAACCATGGATTTACGAAAATTTCTTTTTTGTACCATATTCTGTTTTGTATTATTCTGGAATATTGCTTCTCTGGAGAATGCGAACGGCACTAAAGTAACAAATGCAGAAGTACAAGGAAAACCAAATGTTTCTTCGACAACTCCAAAGAATGAAGTTCCTTGGACAGATGTTAGCCCTCTTGTAAATCATGTTACTCCGTCATCTAATTCTAGTGTAATTTCAACTACCGCAAAACCTAATGTATCAATTTCAAATAACAATGAAAGTAACCTTGTCCAGATTGACAAAAATAAGTCGCTCAACATAAGCACAACTGCGACTCCACTTCCAACAACTGGTAACAATACTGCGAGCAATGTTAGTACTCCTACACAAACTGTAGACCCAGTTCCTGTATTACCAGACAAAGAAGCTGCGGAGGATGAACACAACAGTTCGATGGCTATTTTCTTTGTGCTGTGTGTACTCGCTCTTGGTATTTTACTGATACATCTTATGCTTCAAACTGGTTTCCAGTATGTTCCGGAAAGTGTGGTAATAGTATTTTTAGGTGCACTTATAGGTCTCACTATGAATGCTCTCTCTGACAGAAATATCAGTAACTGGAGAAAGGAAGAAGCTTTTTCACCCACAGCTTTTTTCCTAATTCTCCTACCCCCGATTATATTCGAATCTGGTTATAACTTACATAAGGGCAACTTCTTTCAAAACATTGGATCTATTTTAGTGTTTGCCATTCTAGGCACAACTATATCAGCATTCGTAATAGGTTTCGGAATATACTTTCTTGGACTAGCAGATGTGGTGTATAGGTTAGGATTCGTAGAATCCTTTGCATTCGGCTCTCTTATATCAGCTGTAGATCCAGTTGCGACAGTTGCGATTTTCCACGCACTGAACGTGGACCCAGTGTTAAATATGTTGGTTTTCGGAGAGAGTATTTTGAACGATGCAATTGCTATCGTTTTGACAAACGCCGCTTTGGAATCAAATAACCCTCTCATGAGCACCGGGGAGGCGATTGTGCTGGGGATCCAACGTTTCTGTTTAATGTTTTTCGCGTCTGCAGGTATCGGGGTGGTTTTCGCTCTTGTAAGTGCACTACTGTTGAAGCATGTCGATCTTAGGAAAAATCCGTCCTTGGAATTTGGAATGATGCTAGTGTTTACTTATGCACCGTATGTTCTAGCCGAAGGAATACATTTATCTGGGATAATGGCAATTCTTTTCTGTGGAATAGTGATGTCTCACTATACACATTTTAACCTCTCGACAGTCACTCAAATCACGATGCAGCAGACACTTAGGACATTGGCTTTCATCGCAGAGACGTGCGTTTTCGCTTACCTAGGTCTCGCTTTGTTTAGCTTCAAGCACAGGGTGGAACCGGCTTTGATAGTGTGGAGTATCATATTGTCTCTAATAGGAAGGGCGTGTAATATTTTTCCATTGGCGATACTAGTTAATAGGTTTAGAGAGCATCAGATAACAAAGAAAATGATGTTTATTATGTGGTTCAGCGGCTTGAGGGGAGCCATTTCATATGCCCTATCGCTTCACTTAAACTTCAGCGATGAGACGAGACATGTGATTATAACGACAACCTTGATTATCGTTCTTGTGACCACGTTATTTTTTGGAGGATCAACAATGCCTTTATTGAAATTCATGCAAGCAACGAAAAATCCGTCCAGGCGCCTGAAAAGGCGTAAGAAAGACAGGGAAGTGACATTGAGCAAAACCAGGGAATGGGGACAGGCCCTCGATTCAGAGCATCTATCTGAAACGACGGAGGGCGAGATGGAGGTGTCGTTCGTCTCAGATCGCATAAAAGGATTCGTTAAATATGACTTGAAGTACTTCATACCGTTTTTCACCAGAAGGTTTACCCAGCAGGTAAATAATTTTCAATTTATAATTTCAATTATAAAGCGTTATTTTAATCAAATGTTGACTGTCTGATACACCTATTTGTGTATGATTAAGTGTTATTTGAGGATAACGTTGCCTTAAGCGATTTTATGACTAAAAATTTAATATAATCTATCAATAACGTTAATAAGGAGAAATTATTTTTATGATATATTTTTCCTTGGATAACTTTTATATTTGAGTCAATAAAAAGTAAAATAAATAATTTAATTCTTCTAGGACCAAGTTGAGATCAAATAATTAATGTTGCGAACATTTTATTTTCTTTCTTTCTAATATATTTTCTATTTCCATGCTAAGAAATTTTGTCTTGCTCTTTTTTTTTATAACGAAGCTAAAACAAATACAAATTATTCTGATTAGGTACTGTAAAATATACATGAGAAAATATTTGGGAAAACAGGTAGTAGTGTTTAAAAGTTGTAAATGTAAATATATACCACAAAGTTGCAAAATTCTAAATAATTGTTAAGTAATTCAGCACAGTAAAAAATGTTGAACATTTCATAATATTAAGGTCAAGGCGACAATTTCCTTTTAGTTTCAATTAGACTGTAAATTGTTGGAACTATAATGAAACAAGGTGAATTAGAAATGATTTGGCATTGGTAAATCCGGTACAGTTCTATAAAATTATTGTGAATAAAGAACAAATTTGTATGGGAGTTAATTGATTTGCTTGAGAACAATGGAGTTTGTAAAGGCTTCTTTTACATCACTTTCAAGAAATCAAGAACAGAATAAACAAGATAATATTTTTGTGATTTGCATTATTTATTACTTATTTATAACTAATTTTATGACATATACCGTTATAGTTCATAAAAAACAAGGTTCCAACGTAATAGTCACAGTTTAATATGTACAAAACATTTTAGTACCTATTATGTTGCATTATGGGTAATCAAAGCAAATATTTTGTAGGTGATCTAAAAATATTTATGATACCTTCATGTGTTCATCACTATGCTAGTAAATTATTACCCGCATTTATACCAGTTTTGAACGATTTCTATGCCAAATCTATATCCATCTCACAAAAGTAATACACGTGAGACATAAGTGGAGAAATCAGGCTTCAATGTGTTAATAACTGAAACTCTACCTCCAATAGATATTTAATGTATTTGAATTTTAGCGCTAAATTTAGTAACATTTAACATTTCGTTTAATGACAGACGGGAATTGACGTTTGACAGTATTGACACTATTGAAACAATGTGAGGTTAAATAATCTGCTAAAATTGTGGGATTCAAGTTATTTAACATGAACATAATGGAAACTAGTTTTGTCAGTAGAAAAACACTTGCTTTCAACAATGCAGTTACGTGTATTTATTTGCCGTTACTGGTAACTTTTCTAAATTACACTGGAGACCTGTACAACGTTGGCAAGCCAGAAACCGCCTACGTAGGATGTGTGCTTATATTAGCGGAAGTTTTGAAATATATAAAGTGTTGTTTACTTCCAAATGGAAATACGAAAAAGAGTGAACCAAAAAAGTACAAAATATACGGTTTTTTTAAGGGTATTTTGACAATAGCGTCAATGACTATAGTGTTTTACATAGCAGCAGTATTATTTGGTGCGCCATTCTTTAGTAAACATTACCAGACCTTTATATTTGCATTTGTGTTGTCTATTCTAACGATTCTTCCCTGTTGTTTGTTTCTGGGACCCGACAGCGTTCCTATTTTGATAGCATCATTAACTTTCTTCGAGGGCAGTGAAATATACGAAAATTTCTTGTTCAACATCCGCTTAACTATCTTCGGAGCTTGGCTAGGTGCAGTTTTAATACCACTCGATTGGGATAAACCGTATCAAGTATGGCCTGTACCGTGTTACTTGGGTGCGATCGCTGGATGTTTGGTATCAAATTTTATATCGTTTATATCGCTTTCCTTTTGCATGCCTCCTAAAAAGACTGGAAAATATTATTTATAAGCATGAATCATTGCTGGATTTGTCTGTTCCTTAACAGAAGGTAATAGAGGAATTGTTTAATTTACTTTTTATCTTTCATTGCTGATGAACATAATGTAGATATCTTATCATATATTTGTACAATAAAATTCTGTTTACGTTATCTTAAGTATTCTTTTTATGGAAAGATACAAGGTGTCGTTGTAAATCTGTGCCCCATTGTTACATTTTATTGTAAACAGTTTAATCGGTTGCCAAATAATTAATTTGTAGAATAAAAATACTTAAATCCTTTTCACGAACTTGTGATAAAAATAGAATTTTCATGCTACGAATGCTTGAAAGGTATAATCATTTTACCGTTTTAGAGAGTACATTACATACCGTATAATATTACTCAAAACAATCATCACAAATATAACAAATACAGTAAATAGCAACAAACAGTACTATTTAAAATCGTTTCACATCAACAGTCTAAGTCTTAATATCTTCAGTGAAGATGTAACAGTCGGTCATTTAAAATGAAATTATTTTTGTTCCAAACAGTGTTTTGAATTAAGAGATAAAGAAATTTGAAGTTAAAATCTTATATATTTTAAAAATAATTGATATTGATTAAGCAGTTGTTATAAAATCGATATAATGGAGTTTATTTTGGATATTTATAAAACTTAACTTGTCCGTTATCTTTAGATTTTTTTTTTCATATGAGTAAGTGTATGTATTAATATATACCGTTTATTATGAAGCTTCAATGGAACACTTTGTGTTGAACTAAAGATTGTTCATTTAAAACCACACCGACAATTTTTTTAATTACGTTAAATTATAGATTTGCCATCAATGTAGATAGTAAATCGAACGGATAAAGAAGTATGTGTGTCATTTATACATGCCAAAAATAATATAGGGCTTAATATAGAACCTTGTGGAACAACTATATTGATTTCAATTGTTTCTGAATTGAGGCCACTTATAATTGAAATGATGAAATGTATCGTTATATTTTTAAGAAGGCATTTTGCTCAGTATAAGGCGTTGCCTTTTGTACCGTAAACGTAGTTTGCCTAATGGGGTTGAAGCAGTCAAATAGCCCGACTAATGAAATAAACTTTTTATATTTCATTTCTCTATGTTTATTATAGGAGTTAAAAGATTGCAAGAGCCAGATGACGGATCTAACAAACCAGTGGTACCAAGCGATAAGGATATCGCCCGATCAGTCGGACGAGGAGAGTGGTAACACGGCTCGTTCTAGCATATCAAGTATCGTTCGCTGACCGTCAAAGAGGCCCGAGAAGTGTCCGTTAGTTTGTAACCATAAGTGATAGAAAAGATTTCTCAAATAATTTGTTGCATTAAAGTTTTGCCGTGCAAACGGAGACATTGACGGTTTGTGCAATTTAGTGTTACCGTGAATGTTTCTACTTTGTTCAGCAAAATTTGTGTTGTCGAAATATTTTTACGGACATTCCAAATTGTTAAAATTACTTACGTAGGTATTCTGTCAAGTTATTTTTGTTTTTACACGTTTTTGTTCTATCTCGATAATACTGGAACTCATTTGGTAAAGTGGTTATAAACATATATTTTTACAAAAAAAAAATGTAACGTGATATATGTCGTTAGTAGCAAAGTTATTTATTAAATGTAATAAAATATTAATGGCCTTACTTAAAATATTTATTTCAACCTCGTGTAACTGCATAATATTAAATATTGTAGCGCTAGATATATGAAATTGAATAAACTGGAAATGTGACCTTTGATGACGTGTTTCTTAAAGATTATTGTGGACGTTTTACTTTGTTTTTTATTTTATACGAAATAGGCAAAAGTTTAAAACAAATTCAGGATTCTGAAGGATCTGAAGTTGTTGGTTTTCAAAATTTGTTTTACGTCGTTTAAACGGATTTTTTAATAAATCTAAATTAGAAGTTTGTTGATTAGAAAAAAAATTACGTTGCTGCGATAAAGTACTTAATTTTGTTAGAACGAATGAATTAGCGAAGTTAAAAAGCTAAGTGTATTGATAAATACAAACTATTTGAAAAATTTTTTCAATTATTGTAAATGTGCAATATTTATTTTAATTATAAAAAAGATGTATTTTTGATCTAGTGCTTTTCAGGCGTATTATAATCGATAAACATTTTATACAAGGTGCAACTAAAATGCTTGGCTAAATTTTAAAGACGGATCTGCGTTCTTTCCTTTTCGAGATACCGGGTGTTCAAAATTAAGAAAAATGTAATTTATTTCCATATGCAAAAAAAAGTTTAATTGAAAAGTAATTTGATGTTTTAACACTTAGACATAGTCCAATTTTGAAATGGCTTGGAATTAAAAGAAGTGAGAATTACTATGTCCACCCCTGGTACAAGACCCTGTACATGGTTATGCACAAGCTATGACCAAAAATGAAACCTCGTATTCTTTGGTGAATTTAAAATTTTTATCTAGGAAGTTTCGTTAAAAAGATACAGGGTGTTAAACTGAAAAAAATATCCAAAATCTGAGGCCTTTTTGTAAAATTTAGATTGCCCCAGTGGCGGAAATACGAGGTATTGGTGGTATATTTTTCAAAATAAAATAGTATGTCACTGCTTTATGGTAACAATTATGGTATTTTCGGGTTCGTTTTTCAATTTTCTATAAATTACTACTGTCTTACGTTTTTCGAAAAGAGCCTGATTTTCTAGTAAAGCTTAAAAAACGAACTGAAAACACATTTACTCAAATGACAAACACTAATGATTCGCTTATTTAATCAAATAAAGAAATTAATGATTACATTATTCATCATTTCAATGGTTTTATTTGAGTAAATCCTCAAAATATCTCCATTTCGATGAACACAGGCGAGACGTCTTTTTAGTCACGAAAATGTAATTTGTTCGAAATTAATTGTTGCTTGAATCTTATGAAAGGCGTTATTTATTTTTTCTTCTAACTGCTCAGAATGTCACAGTTGCTATCGTAATTTTAAACCGCGTTTTATTCGAAAATCGAGGTGTGTTTTCAGTGCGTTTCTTAAGTTTACTCGAAAATCAGACTTTTTTCAAAAAACAGAAGAGAGAAGTAATTTGTAGAAGTTAAATACGAATCTGAAAATATGATTGTTACCGTAAAGCAGTTGCGTACTATTTTATTTAGAAAAATATGCCACCGTTACCCTGTATCTCGGCCACTGCAACATCTAAATTTTAGAAAAATGCCTCAGATTTTAGACAATGTTTACGTAAATACATACGCCCAATTTCAAATTTTTTCACTTACTACTTTTTAAATTATTAAAGTCAACACATTTTTAGTTTAATACCCTGTATCTTTTTAACAAAGCGTCCTAGATAAAAACTTTACAGGAAAGACCCCCCTTAAAGTTCACCAAAGAATACGAGGGTTCATTTTTGGTCACCGTTTGTGAATCACCCTGTATATTGGCTATCTCGGAAACGAAACATTTGTGATACACGTTCACGGGAATTCTTTTTGTTAATTTGTAACGTGAAATCCATTGTTAAAATTCAATCAAATATTCTAGTCGGATCCTGTACAGTAAAATGAAAAATTAACGCACGTAAAACATCCACCAGGGTTTTTGTGATATAATTTTGATTAACTTTGTTGTGTGATTATCCAAGTGATTAATAATGTAATAAATGTGGCTTCATCTAAATAAATATCTGAGAAGTTGTCTGTTTTGTTTTATTGCATTATGTTTAGCTTTTAGGACTTTTGACCTATTGTGCTTGCCGCCAACAGAAGTTAGAATGGCGAGTTGCAAATCATATATGCTGAATTTGTAGCATTTAGGACTTCCGACCTATCATGTTTGCCGCCAGTAAGAGTTAGAATGAATTGTAAATCCTATACGATGAATTTTTAATTTTTATTATCAATCAAAGTATTTTTATAATAATATTTACAAGTTTAATGAGAAACCCATACAAACAAATAAAAAATATTTTATTTATCTCAGAAACGTTGCATTTCTGCCAATCCTTCGATACTCGTATTAGTCTCTGAATGTGGGAACTTGAAGCATTTAGGGCTTCCGACCTATCGTGCTTGCCGCCAGTAAAAATTAGAACGAATTGTAAATCGTATACCATGAATTTTTAATTTATTATTCCAAGTATTTTTATAATATTTAAAAGTTTAACAAGAAACCAATACAAACAAATAAAAAAATATTTTATCTCAAAAACTTTGCATTTCCCCCAATCCTTCGATACTCGTCTTGGTCCCGGAATGTGGGAACTTGAAGCGTTTAGGCCTTCCGACCTATCGTGCTATACGATGAATTTTTAATTTTTGTTATTAGTCCAAGTATTTTTATAATATTTACAATTTAGAAGAGAAACCCATACAAACAAATAGAAAAAATGTTTTATTTATCCCAAAAACGTTGCATTCCAGCAGTTTTTCAAATCCTTTGAACTCGTCTTGGTCCCTGAATGTGGGAACTTGAAGCGTTTAGGCCTTCCGACCTATCGTGCTTGCCGCCAGAAAGAGTTAGAACGAATTGTAAATCACATACAATGAGTTTTTAATCTTTAATGTTCTTCCAGTATCTTTATAACATTTACAAGTTTGATCAGAAACCCGTACAGCCAAAAATAAAAAAATTATTTCTAAAAAACAATGTAATGTGTACGTTCATACAAAATAAATACAAAATATTTTTATGGAAATAATTAGTCCTCTATAACACACAAATCATCGTCCTCGTCGGCTTTATCTTCAGGCGGATTAATTTTCCTTTTCTTGCTCGACGATCCCTCCTGAGGGTCCTCTTCATCGTACTCGATCACCATTAGATCGTCCTCGTCGCTCTCCTCGTTACTATCATTTTTGTTATCAGCACCGTTTTCTCGACCTAGCAAAGGAATACAAAAATTTTTTGTTTAATTTTTGTACATATTACAATATTTAATAAAAGTTCCAGCCCAATTAACGTTAAAATAAAAGAATTACCATTAGCAGTTTCCTTGGCTTTCAGTTCCTCTGGGTTGGCAACCACTTTATAAGGCGGATCGTCCTTTTCTTTTGCCTCGTAGTGATTTATGGCTACGGTCAATTCGTAATTTTGTAGAAAATCGTCGCACTTCAAAATGCTTCCGTCGACGATGCCAAGTTCGGTAAGTTTTTTTTCGTCGTTCGCCTAAACAAAAATATTTTTTTCCGATACTCTAACTTTATTTTGTCTAGTGCGACACAAGTAGGATCGTATTCGATGCAAAGTAGCAAATTGTGTCATCATTTTTAGGACGCGTAAAATGAACCATTTCAAATTTAAAATAAACCCCTTAAAACCGTACTGCACTGGATCCCTTGACAGGCGATGATTTATTACTTTGCATAAAAATTCAATTTGCTTGTCCCAAAAATTGCAAACTAATCACGTCAACTTTGCAGGAAACAATATTAACATCCCACGCTAACATTTTTTTTTTAAACATAAATACCTGAGTTTCTCCTTCCTCGGACGAAATCACGACGACGCCTTTCCCGTCCAAAACAGCGTCTGGAGCGACCATATTCAAGTGTTTCTTAAGTAATTCGTTCTCGAACTCCTTTACCGTCATCGTATTAACGTTAACGAAGACGTTAACGAACGGCTTCGGGCTGCAAACGTAACACGTCGGATTGGCCCTGGAGATCTGCTTATCAGCGGCCAGGATGAACTTGGAGTGTACCGATTTCTTCCTAAGGTAAATCGAAGGGCACTTCTCGTATTCCTGATCGAGAACCCAAAAAGCGTGCAGCACCACTAGTCCGGCAATCATCGCGTTGGCGGTGGCTATAGCAGGAATAATATTTCCGGCAATAGCTGAAAACGAAAATAAGAAACGATTCTTGCAGTTTTTAACTCGATGTAAGCGTTTACGTACATTTTATAGCGAATCTCGATTTCTGCTGAATGGAGAAGATGTGAGCCCTGATATTGGCGCAGGCGGTGACGAAATCCATTGCCGGTTTGTCGTCTTTGTCCCATACCAAGAAGTTTCTATCGGCAAGTTCGGTTTTCAGTTGGGAAATGGTACTGGCAAACACTTTAGCGCATTTGCTCAACGACCAAACTTGCATATCCACCGCTCGGACCTCGTCTTCTTCCTTCTTGGAATCACCTCCATGCGAAGCGGCTTGGTCCCATGAAAGGGGGACGGGCGGTTTCCGAGTTTTCCACAGGTTTTCTAAAGAGTTAAGGTCTACTTATAAACTTGTTCCGTTGCCGTTACCATTCCCGTTACCCAGGAAACGTACCTACTCCCCATTTATGCATCTTTATTAAAAAATGCAGTACTGTTATTTATTAAATTTTAAAAACATTTTAATCAAAAACACTAGAAAATATATGAAGTTCAAAACATAACGAGAAAGTTTTGTAAAACTGTCTCAAAACAGTTGCTGCACAATTCGACACATGCTTTGACGACTCAGGCAAATGTCAGTGCAACTTTTCAACCAATGATATTATAGGAAGCCGATTAGTAGGTCACTTTGTGTCAGTAGTAGATACATGGGCCAGTAGATAGTTTTTTTGTCATTTTATTAGAGTTGCGAGATTTCCGAATATGAACGAGACAACTAGAACTAGACGGTACTCACCCATGCTCAATAAGTATTCGATGTCCGCTTTGAAGAATTTATCAAATAGTTTTGCTGGATCATAGTTATTGTCCTGGGCCCATTGACGAGTAGACGTTCTTTTAATATTCCCTGCATCTGTCACGCTATGCTCGCCATCGATTTTCGCTTCGGGATCTTCAGCGTCTGGAGACACATCCTGATCCGGATCATCTTCTCCGAATAACTGACTAAAATTACCAATTTTGTACCACAAGTTAGTGTGTGAAAAAATAAAATATTATAGTACTTACTTAAATAAATGCTTTGCCCACACGATGCAATGGACTGGCTCTGACGGTGTGTTACGGATAGTGCAACCTGGATAAGTCTTTTGAGGAGGTTTTGGTTGGCACTCGTAACACTGAGTGACCCCTTTTTTTATAAGTTCGACTTGCCCAGAGTATCCGGATGTTCCTGATTCAATCAGAGGTACGTCTGCCGCTAGACACATCCGATTCACGTGATTTCGTGCAGCTCTATTGTCCAAAGCGTTCAGCACTAGACTGAATCTTTTGAAGAAATTTACACCATAGTCTTGACTGCAAACAAAAAGACTTGTAAATATACGAGTTTACGTAAAATCATCAATGTATACATTGCTTAACACTTACCTTGTGATACTGTCATGGTAAGCCTTAATATTAATATTGGGGTTATAACTTAATATACTTTCGCGGGCTACAACTGCTTTAGGTTTTCCCACATGTTCCTTGCGAAACAAAAACTGTCTGTTGAGATTGCTAACATCGATGGTATCCAAATCGATCTAGAAATTAATACTTTATGCACGAATAATTACATTTAATTGTAACAACTTACAATTTCTATGTCTTGAAAACCAGATAATGCCAAATTTTTTAAAACTTCACAACCTATTCCTCCGGCTCCTACTACTAGAATTTTTGACTTGGGAATTAATTCTTTAATATTTTCGCTTACAGAATACGGTACCGAAGACAAATTGGCCATAATGAATTTGCCAAATTAACGCAAAATGTTTAATTTTAATAAATTACAAGCCTAACAAAAATGAAACAAAATGACAACGACGCCGGCACAATGTTGAAGTTGGTAATAATGGTAATGTTGGTATTCCTGGATCGGATTTATTATGTTGGTATTTTTAGAGGATTTCCCAAGTTTTTATGGAAAGTTCTCTGGGAGAAAACTCTATTCTTTGCACATACTTTATGTGATTCTTTGACGATTCGATATATGTATCATAATATGACGGATAGATGTCGCAAGAAGCATAAAAAAAGAATTATCATTTTTAAAAAGCGGTGGGACAAAAATTAGATTAAGAATCAATGGAATTGCAGGACAATAAGACAGGTATTTCAGAAATCATTAAAAAGACTGATGATACGTTCTTTAACTTCCCAATCAACTGGCTTATGCAGATTAAAACATTGGATCGAATTGGCATCGCTCAAAATCTAGTAACCAACGCTTAGGCCGGTCGTCCTTTGAATGTGTTTTCGTCCGAATTGAATTCGTCAGAAATCGGATAAGATAACTATTTTCCAAAAGATAATCATCCATATTATTAACAATTATAATTTTACGCTGAATTGATAAATCAATATGTACGACTGACTTCTGCAAAGCGAAAACTTGTCCAGTGGACGATACCAGATGGGCGAAATCTGACAAAATTAGGTCCGATCAGTCCGATTTCTGAAGAAAATAATTCGGACGAAAACGCATCCAAACCAAAGGACGGCCGGCCTCGTTTCACATTCCAATGCTGCCGAAAACTTGCGAAATGAAATAGCTGCATTTGGAGTAGCTCGGTTGCTTGATAGTTTGTTGTTTATTTGTTTATTGTTTTCTATCTTCGTGGCGTGGCGCTTGGCAAGATGGCCGTTCCCTTATTGTTTCGTGTTAATTTAGATCTGAAGTGGGTAGTTTAAATAAAAATGAATTTTAAATTGAGTGAAACTAAATTTTACAAACTTAACCATCATAAACAGTTAACAGTGAAGGAGTGTGGTCGCCCTCTGCTTGATTTACATGTTGAGTTCGGGACAGAGCCTCGGAAAAACATGTAAGACAATTTGCAAAACAACTGGATTCGTGGCTGTTGTGTTTTCCGTGCCGTGTGTGACGTGAAATCTGCAAGTCAACGGGTGAGAGATATAGTGCAATTTAGTGAAGAGAAAACATGAACACAAATACGGTTAACATTTAAGTATTTGGCAATATCAACATACAGACAGGCTCAACTTGATTCCGCTGACTGGAATTATTGGATAAACATTCAAAAGCGCAACGAAGAGGTGACAAAAAACAGGTATGTTTTGTAAAAATCATTGACTGTGACCGTATTTCAATCAACGTCCAATATAGGTACCTAATTTACCTACATAGATTATCTCAGTTTTTGAGATTTTCAGCATAAAGTTAGGAAGAATTAGGTAACACATGTAAAGAAAAAGTTAGTTTTACCTTACAGATTTTTGCATGAAGTTAGGTTAGGTTAGCACATTATGAGATTTATAATGAACAGAACAGTGGCTTTTTGTTAACAAAACCGTTATATTTTATGATCTACAACAGCGGATCGAAGGCAAAATATTTCATATCCCATTTTTTACCCAGCAGCTTATGCGAAACGAAACTATATAAAATGTAGCCGTTTATGATTGAATTTTGGTTCCTTAACAACGTATTTTTTAGCGAGCTGTAGAAATAAGTACGTTTTTGAGAATAAATTAAGCACAAATGAAGCTTAAGTTTTTTCCTGAAGGATTGTTTAATTTGTTTTAAAAGAAAAATACCTGACTCGGACACCCCGTGCTAAGTTATTGTTAAGTACTTATTTTCTTTATCCGGCCGCAGCAGCCCTGCGATAATTTGTCCCGAGGACGGTAAACCGACGATTTACGTTCATTTCGCGACGTCTGTCTTCCGCGCCAAAGGGAACGCCCCCACGTACGCAAACGAAACGTTTCTTTCTCGCGCTCGGCACCGGCTAAATCGCGGGTTTAGGGTAATGCAATCATGTTCCACTCCTACGGCTGTATTTCATTTTCCCATAAACGCGACTAAATCGGCGAGATTTACGGCGAGCTGAGGCCTGGAACTGGAAATCTCGGGAATAACGTCGACGTAAGCCGATCGTCAGTGAGTTACAGCCTGCCCCGGTCACGACTTTGACTTAAAACATCGTTTCACGTGCTGTGTACGGCATGATTATACTCTCGGATATGACTACCTCGAAATGGGCTACCGGCTGCATGAGGTACTGCCGGAAACCGACACGAATTAGCCGTCTTAATTCAGTTACTCTCATTTGGCGTGTCGCGCGAGAGGGTCCGGCCGAGTTCTATGTGGGCCTTCGCTTACCCTTCATATTCTGTAGGCTCCCTTATAGTCCAGGCTGTATGTCGCTCCCGCTAGGAACGTGATTCTCATTAGATTTTTTTTTTCATAATCTTACTAAAAAAATTACCCTTGAAACATATCCGCGTGTTGCCAGACGTTACTAATGGTCAAAAATTGTTTAAACAATTTGTTTTAAATAAATTCGTAATTTTCGATTTTTTCGCTTGAAATAATATTTTTTTAGGCTTTTTGAGATATCCTGAACAAAACAGTTCCTATGCAACTTTTTTCTAAAATCTACCGTTTTCGATTTTAATTTAATCATTTTCAACGTCAATAAACTATATTAAAAATTGCAATTTTTAGTGTTACCAAAATTCTTAAATAATCTGAATATCCCTTAACAAAAATCCGAAGAATTACTCCGGCATATTTTATTCTGAAGATTTGTTTTTTTTTTTATTGTTAATAAGCCGCGTTTATCGGCCGCTCTTGGCCGCCTCCGTATATACTCTACGCCTACAACTACGGATCTGCTTGTATCGCTCAATATTGACCGGTAGGTTTGTCGATTTTTGATAATAAACTTAATATTAATAAACTATTTAATAAATAATGTTATTAGAATGTTAGAAAGCGAATTATTCAAAACCAAACTATTGCTACTTTAAATTAAATGTTATTAATTTTATTGGAATTTAGCATATAGGTACTCGATTAAATTAAGCCAAGAGCGATCTTGTTGAAAGTAACCTACTTGCAACTCATCGCCATATAATGCTAAAATAGTGCTAAAAATAGCTTGAAAATAAGGGTTCAATATCTTTCAGCATCTATAGTGCTAAACATCTTAAATTAATCCTTTAGCATCTAAAAAAATGCTATAAGCATTGTTACTACTTTTAGAGATATTTGCAATTTTCTATTTTTTGGACAGTTTTCTCGTATCAGACATCGGACCTGTTGTCAAATTGGCCATGACCAGAAACACTCCAAAAACAATTGAAGTAACTTTCAAGTTAGTTGTCAAATTATTGTTGTGTCTTTGCCAAAAATTTAAATACAAATAGTACTTAGGGATCGTTTAAGTTGTATTACTAATGAGGATTATTTTAATTTGTTTGTTATTTATGGACAATGTGCAAAGCAGCAAGTTCTCTACATGCTCTTGAAATTACTTTGTCACCCTTATATGGCTTGAAAGGAAATTTCAATCTGCATACGGCACAGTAAAAAAATACAGGGTGTTCCATTCGAGTTAGCAAAGTTATAGCTGTTTGACGTTGTCAAAATGTAACAGCAAAAATGAACCACCTAGTGTTAAATGTTTTAATTTGTTGGTATACCATAATTTAGTGTTACCTATGCCCTTTACACATGTTAAATTTTTTCTTTAATAATTAATATCTCAAAATCTGAAACTCCTAGGTATAGGTATCAAATTTCACGTAGAATCCGAAAATGCAGTAATATACATGGTGTTTGTAAATAAGTGTGAAATATTTTAGGGGGTGGTTGCTGAAGTTATTTTGTGGAAAAAAGTTCATATAAATGTAGGTCGAAATATGCTTCGCTTCCGAGATATAGTGTTTAAATTTTAATTTTTAATTTATTTTTATTAATTATTTCAGTCTTAAAGATATTGACTCGAAATTTGAAAAACGCTTTGGAGGGATAAATGTGCATTTTTTGGGGTGATACGAATATTTCTACATGCATCTTTAAATAAAAAATTAACAAAATCTACAATAAAATACGTTTTATTTTTTTCCTCAAAAGCGGTGCATCCTACGAAGGGACCAATTTTATTCAGAATTGATGGCGGATTTCTAAAAAAACATCAAAACGGGAAAAAGTCAGTGATGTGCCATTTTTTTTATTAAAAAAGTTGTGACATGCTCGTACGAACGCCACTGGTGGAAGTAGAAATATTCGGATCATCCCAAAAAACGCACATTTGTCCCTTCAAAGCGTCTTTCAAATTTTGAGACAATTTAAAACTCTTTGAAATAATTAATAAAAACATAAATAAAAAATTAAAATTTAAACACTTTGTATTTCGGAAACGAAGCATATTTCGACCTGTAGTAGGATCATAAGTAATAAATCATTTTGTCAAGGGATCCAGTGCAATACGCTTTTAAGAGGTTTAGAAATTGAATAATTTCTTTATACATTATGAAGGAACGAAGGGATCAGTTCACGTCTGGCACCCTTGTTCCTATAAAAAATCCTTTATTCTCATAAACTATTTATTTTTAAATGTAATTTATTATAAATCCAATTTGTTTTTTAAATTCCACATATGTACTACATTTTACCACTGTTGTTTACTAGTTTTTTGGAGTCGGTCTTTAATATACAACTAAGCTCGCCAGGTTAGTATCTGATGTATAACCGACCACTTCGTGCACTCGATGCACCTGGGCGACTACAGTTACTACCAGAACACAGTGCATATGCGGGGGTATTTCAGATTTTACATTCAATTTCATTTTAAATTTGAAATGGTTCATCTTACGCCTCCTAAAAATAATGACACGATTTTCCTTTGATAAAAGACCGACAATTTTTTACTCTACTTTGCATCGAATACGATCCTACTATACGTTTATATGAACTTTTTTCCACAAAATAACTTCGGCAACCATCCCCTAAAATCGCAATTATTTACAAATACCCTGTATAGAGAATTTAGAGTGGGTTGAGTCGTTACCACCGAACAGTTGAGTAGACTTAGTATGAAACAATCGATTCACTTCAAGCTCGTTATTTGTCCTTTGCTATTCTTTTCTCTGATTGTGTCAGAGAGTTAAACTAGATCGGTTTATGTGTCTCATAAAAAAATCATCCCCTGGAATTACCGCAATCGAATTTGAGGCACACGGGGCAATCCCGCATAATGCCACATTGGAAATGACACCGAGACCATCAACTATTAAAAAACCCATAAATATTCATAGCCCATATCGATCCCGATTGCGAGGCACGAACCTCCGTCCACCACCTCGTCGATAATCCCCGTCGACGTACTAATTCGCTGTAATTAACTCGGATCATCAATTACCAGATCGTCTTACGGCACTCGGCCCTCTAGATGTTGTCGCCGGTGGTACGTGCGCCCCTTCGGGAGGGCGGTGCTACCAGACTCGAACAGACAGCGGACCGCCAGTCATCCGACGACCGGCGAGAGTGAGCGTTGCCATTCAGCTTCTCCAGCTACTCCGCGACGCGCGATCTTTCGAGCCGGCTCCCAAAAAGTTTCTCGGCAGCGGCGTGAGTGAAAAAATATCCGACTTGCAGTGTGCGATGACAAGCCGTTGACGGCGCGAGGGGTGTAGAATGGCGGCGGCAGCGCCCAGAATGACGTCCACCCTCTTGTTGTTCTTGTGCGCGACCTCGATCCTAGCGGTGAGCGAGAACTTCCTGAAGATGTTCGAGGGGCAGCAAACCCCCGCGGACCCTTGCTACGACGAGGACAGGCCGCGTAGGTGTATCCCGGATTTCGTCAATGCCGCCTTCGGGGTGCCCGTGAAGGCGTCTTCCACTTGCGGCCTGCATTCGCCCGTGCACTACTGCGAAGCGCCGGAACCGGGGGCGAATCCGCAGTGTCACATTTGTGACGATCGTCAGCCTCGCAACAGATTCCCTTCTTCTCACCTGACGGACCTGAACAACCCCAATAACATAACCTGTTGGAGGTCGGAACCTCTTCCTCCGGTTACATCAATAAACGCGCCTCCTGATAACGTGACTTTAACCCTCAGTCTGGGGAAGAAGTACGAGTTGACTTACGTAAGCCTCCAGTTCTGCCCTTTAACCCCGAAACCCGACTCGATCGCGATCTACAAGAGCATGGACTATGGCAAGACCTGGCAGCCTTTCCAGTTCTATTCCAGCCAGTGCAGAAGGGTGTACGGAAGACCCAACAGAGCAACCATCACGAAGACGAACGAGCAAGAGGCGCGATGTACAGACGCACATAGGTACACGGGTGGAGATTCCTTCGGCTTCGGGCAAACCTCCAGGATAGCCTTCAGCACGCTGGAGGGGAGACCGAGTGCTCTGGACTTCGACAACTCCCCAGTCCTGCAGGACTGGGTCACGGCGACGGACATTAAAGTCGTCTTCAACCGCCTGCACATGCCAGTGGAGGATTCCTCCGACAACCTCGACATCCTAGTGGACGAGCGCTTGTTCGACAAGCACCTNGTCTGGGGAAGAAGTACGAGTTGACTTACGTAAGCCTCCAGTTCTGCCCTTTAACCCCGAAACCCGACTCGATCGCGATCTACAAGAGCATGGACTATGGCAAGACCTGGCAGCCTTTCCAGTTCTATTCCAGCCAGTGCAGAAGGGTGTACGGAAGACCCAACAGAGCAACCATCACGAAGACGAACGAGCAAGAGGCGCGATGTACAGACGCACATAGATACACGGGTGGAGATTCCTTCGGCTTCGGGCAAACCTCCAGGATAGCCTTCAGCACGCTGGAGGGGAGACCGAGTGCTCTGGACTTCGACAACTCCCCAGTCCTGCAGGACTGGGTCACGGCGACGGACATTAAGGTCGTCTTCAACCGCCTGCACATGCCAGTGGAGGATTCCTCCGACAACCTCGACATCCTAGTGGACGAGCGTCTGTTCGACAAGCACCTCGACGAGGACGACAGCCAGACCAAAGAGCCGCTGCCGTCGGTGCAGCTGGTTAACGAGATGCAGGCGCTGGATAACGAGGAGCCCAAGAACCCGAAAGTGACGGTGGGTTCGGAGTTGGGCGCCAACGGCATCATAGGCGGTTACCATCAGGTGACGCACCAGTACGCCGTGGCGGACTTCGCCGTCGGTGGGCGATGCAAGTGCAACGGCCACGCAAGCCGGTGCATCACGGGCCGCGATGGTCAATTAGCCTGCGAATGCAAACACAACACCGCGGGCAGAGATTGCGAGCGATGCAAACCCTTCCATTTCGACAGGCCCTGGGGCAGGGCTACCGCCAGAGACGCCAACGAGTGTAAAGGTAAGAGTTATGCGGCGGCTCGCCGGGCCTCCGGATTAATTGCGTTAACTTCGTCGTCGGCGGGTCAAGGAATCCGCCCGATCGCCCGCCGTGTCGCGAGACGCTGCGAATTTGCATTTTAACAAGTTCGGAAACGTTGGAAGAATTGAGGCCTCTTCAAACTTAAGAAATACTTTCCAGTAAACACACATTCGTTAGAAAGATGTTTATAAATACAAATACTATTTGAGAAACGTGTTTTTTACAGAAAATTAACGTTGAAGAAATGTTTTAATATTAGTAAATGTGAACCGACCATTTTTAGAATTAATATACATTTTACATTTTGATTATAGTCCAAGGAACAGAAAAAAATAGGGTAAAACCTCCAGATACTTTCGGATAGATCCGTTTTTTTATGAAAATTTGGAATTAAGCTTATTTCACCCTGTAGATGAAAAGTTATACAGGGTGTTTCAGAAGACCTCCCGTGAATTCAGGGGGGATAGTACGAGAAAAAATACGAATTTTTTGTCCTATGAACTATATGTCTATCTCGTCTTGTTTGCAAGATACAGAGCGACAAAATAAAAATTTTTTAATAGAATTTTTACGAAAATTCCCAAACGGTGCGAAATATTTTTATGAAATTTGGTATTCCTGGGTTTTTAAGGACGCCAAATACGCTGGTCTAATTATTTTTTGTATATTTTATAGAGGGCGCTAGTTATACTACATTCGTATTACATTTTAAGTTCAAATTTTTTGAGGTTAGGTTTTTTACTGTTCGGGCTCCAATTTCTAATGTACAATTTTATTTTCTAAAAATAATGTACTCTTATTAGAACTTCCCAATGTGGACGGTTTTCGAGAAAAAAGGCTTTTAATTGAACTCTTACGGTGAAGAAAATAAGTGACTTTTCTCAAAGTAGGCTTATGTCAAAACTTATTGATGGATGTCTCATAAACAAGGCATACATTCTCAGTAATATTTTAAACTCTAATTAACTTTTTATCAAAATTTTAGTGACTCTAATTAGTCATTACTAACTACAGTCACTAACAATCACTAAAATTTTGATATAAAGTCAATTAGAGTTTAAAATATTACTGAGAATGTATGCGTTGTTTATGAGACATCCATCAATAAGTTTTGACATAAGCCTACTTTGAGAAAAGTCACTTATTTTCTTCACCGTAATATTGTAAGAATTCAATTAAAAGCCTTTTTTCTCGAAAACCGTCCATATTAGAAAGTTCTAACAAGAGTACATTATTTTTAGAAAATAAAATTGTACAATAGAAATTGGAGCCAAGCTGTATGGTAAAAAAACCTAACCTTAAAAAAATTTGAACCTAAAATGTAATAGAAATGTAGCGTCCCTCTATGAAATATCCAAAAAATAATTAGACCAGCGTATTTCGCGTCCTTAAAAACCCCGGAGTACCAAATTTCATAAAAATATTTCGCACCGTTTCCAAATTTTCGTAAAAATTCTATTTAAAAAATTGTATTTTGTCCCTTTGTATCTCGAAAACAAGAGGAGATAGACATATGGTTCAACAAAAGACAAACAATTCTTATTTTTTGTCGTACTATCACACCCTGAATTTACTGAAGGGCTTTCTGAAACACCCTGTATATGCTTGATATGCGCTTCTTATTTTTATGCGATGAAAACCACCCCGTATGTTAAAGAAACTGAATAAATATAAAAATAGGTGTTATGTGGACTAAAATCATACATAGAATAAATATTGTTTTATATTGTGGGTTATAATTTACGTTATTTTTTATAAACTTTCAACCCTTAAAAACCACCCTTAATGATGAAAATATAAAATTAATAGTTCCTTTGACCTTAAAATATTTGTATAGTGCATATATTATAGATAGAAATCTATTCAATAGTTTACGGTATTATAAATAATTTATTACAATATTTCAACCCTTAAATAACTACCCCTAATAACAAAATATTAAAAAAAAATTGTTTTGTAACAGTTTGAAATGATTTGATAGTACAAACAGGATAAATTAAATTCTTTTACCTGTTTATACAATTTATAATTTATGGCATTGTTTTAACTCTCAAAAACCACCCCCAACGACAAAAATGATAAAAAAATGGCATTTAAATAAATATATTGTTAGCACATAAAAAATGTAAATTATAGGATTACCTTTAAATCTCGTGAAAAACTACTGAAAAACGTATTTTTTAAATAAAAATACATTTTTAATCACTCAAAAAATATTGACTTATCGAAAAATGTTCATAAGAAACTTTTTGCTTAAAATTGATTGCTGGGGTTGTTTTCAATATTTCAATTTTCAGTATTTCAATTTTCAATTTAAATCTAGAAAAGGTTTAAATAACGTGTATTTCCAACCTTTTTTTTAGGACTCACATAACTACAATTGCAAATTGCAAGTAGTGATTAAAAACTACACTGTTGAAATAAATTTGAGACTTAAACATAGAATATACAGCGTGTACCACGGACAGTTATCAAATATGTAATGAAACATACCGGGCGTCCAAAAAATTTCAAAATGTGAAAATTTCCCTATGCAAAGCATCAACGTTTCGAGAGACATATCGCTCTCTTCCTCAGAAGCAACTCTGAAAGTTTTCGAGTTTTTGAAGAAACGATATTATGTCTCTTGAAACGTCAAGAAACCTAAACGGAAGACGAGGCAATTGGCCCGGAAATTGTTCTATCATTAACTGACAAACCAAATAAAAGTAGCGTTTCTAATTAAAAAATAGAATTAACATATTAAAACTGGAATTAACAACAAGAACGAAGCAAGTCCTATTCAACTTGTAAACCTCCAAGCAATACATATTTTTCTAATCTTTTCTTAAGTAAATCATTGTTATCGTCAAAATCGTTTGAATATACTTTTCGCTTTAGGTATCCCCATAAGAAATAATCTAACGGGAACAAGTCGGGTGACCGTGCGGGCCAAGGTATTGGTCCATAGTGTTCAATCTACTTGTTCAGGAGGTGAACGTTAAGCCAGTTTCTCACTAGAAGTGTGGAATGTGCAGGGCATCCGTCTTGTTGAAGTATTCGTTTTCTCCCGAACTCTAAATTTATCTACATTACATTTATTTTTGTTTACAAAACAATTATATCACTCTGTATAACGTTATAGTAAACAGAGTAAAGTTAAAAAGCGTTCCACAAATAAATAGCTTATAGTAACAATAATATAAAGATTAGGGGCCAAGAGCTGGACCCCGAGGTACACCAGAAGCTGCAGCACACCTAGCAGAACAATTAAAACCATTAAAGCTTCATGCGAGATGCGAGAAATTGTGCATTGCTTATTATCTCCCGCTAAGACGCAATACTCCTGAAGACCGAAGACAATTACCCACTCGAGCACGAATTTCTTGTACTTCGAGCTATTCGCATTGGTCTTATTGTTATTTATGATGCCGTGATACGACAATTTAGATATTGCATCCATTCATTGAATCCCATTTTTATTCTTAGGCTATTCTCGTACTGATTATAGATTTTTGTGTCGGTTCCGGTTCTTATATTTTCTCCTGACGGAGTAACGCCGCTTCGCCCGAGGCTATGCGGTGGTTTTGAGATTAATCGCATTAACTTCGTCAGTGATCCGACAAATTTAGATTGCCCGTGTTGCAAAAATTCCGTTGGGTACATTTGCAACGTTTTGCATATGTTTGCTCCATACCTAACGATGAGAAATTGTACACAGATGTTATCTCAGAAGTATTGACGATTTTATTTTGAAAATACAACAGATTCAGATCAATTAAACATGTATATTTGTATTAATTATACAATAGTACAATCATTGAAGCTGAAAATCAGCTGTAACCTCCGAATTCTTTGAAACTGCATGGATTTGCATGAAAATTTAGAATAAGGCTCATCTTAGGCTCAAGTTCAAAAGTGACATAAGCCCAATTGACGCTTTTTGTTTTTTAGGGGTAAAAACTACCCTACAAGTTAAAAAAAATTGAAAAAATTAACTTTTAAGCAATTTATTGATACAAATCTTGTTCAATCACAAAGATTAAATAATGTTCCATGTTCTCGAACATGTTTTATGATATATTTGATCTTTTCGACCCTTTATTTAACCCTTAAAAACTACCCCTATGCAAAAAATAATGATAAAAAATTACTTTTTAAAGATTTGGAATGATTAAATCGTACAATTATTTAAAATAAAAGTTACCTTATAGCTAATAAAAGAATTTTTCCCTTTCAACCCCTAAAAACCACCCCTGTATTGACAAAAATGATAAAAAATTACTTTTTAAAAGCTTGGAATGCTTTAACGGTGCAATTATTTAAAATAAAAATTCCCTCATTGCTTATGAAAGAATTTGTATCTCATAACACTTTTCAACCCTTATAAATCACCCCTGTGCTAAAAAAATGATAAAAAATTACGTTTTAAATCTTGGAATGCTATAATTGTGCAATAATTTAAAATAAAAATTCCCTTATGTTGTTTATGAAAGAATATTTTACTTTTGCCATTTTCAACTCTTATAAACTACCCTTTTACCAATATTAATATAAAATATTTTTATTAAATCCTAACATTTTGCTCCAAAAATGAGAAAGCCTATTTTGCTCCGAAAAAATGTCATTGGTTTTTTTTACCATAACTCGGTTAATTTTGAAGCTATAGTATCCTACAAAAAATTTAAAGATAATTTCAAGAGCTGTAAGATCGTTTGCATATAAAACCTTTTAAGTCGTTTATATAGGACGTACAATTTAAAAAAAAACGATTTTCTTTGTATATTTATAGGTTACATTTTTGTTCATTACACTTTTTTTAATAAAATGCGTCGTTCTTGAGTTATTCGCGAAAAATACTTCGAAAAAGTGTTTTTTTTTTCACTCAAAATTCCAAGTTTTCAATCGTGAATAACTAAAAAACTATTGATTTCTCGAAAATTGCTCAAAATTTGATTATCGATTTCAAGCGTTATTTTTGAAAAAAAATGTCCACCCCCGAGAACAGGGTGGAAGCGCTATGTCACTAATGTTCATTGGCCTTTTCTCTAACTATCTGCCAAATTTCAAGTCGATCGGTTCAGTTTCAAAGAATTCGAAGGTGAAAAGCATAAGAAATAATTATTCCAACGTATTTTTTCAGTAAATAATTTCTTTGTTTTAAGTTATTTTCATTTAAGTTACAGTCTAATCCAGCATGGCATTTTATGTTTATTATGTCGTGGTGTAACCTGATATTTACCCAATTAACGAATTGGTTATCCTCAGGATTATATCTATATTTGATAATTCGTACGTGAAGGGATCTATCGATAATTTTCATTAACTTGAACTTGATTTTCTGGCGGATTCTGTGTTGAATAAGAATCCTCAAATCCCATCCTTAATCTCCCTGTTCAGCTAAAGGTTAAAAGAATTAATTTAATATTACCTATCTATTATCAGTTTGGAGGATATTCAAGGTAAAGTTAAGTAATCCCCGCTTACAAGTGCGATGAACCGAAATTGTTTATTTGTTTACTGATTCTCGATACGTATTGCCGTTTAAAAGTATTAAGATATAAGTGGTAAATACCAAGAATATTAAGCACGTTGTACGGTTTAGAATGTTTTTAGCTCGGGTCTTGTCGGTGGAGTTCATTGAGTTTAATTTATGAACAGATCTACTGATCTTCCTCAAACAAAAGTTATAAAAAAAAAATAAATGCGTGAGCAGGGGCGGCGGAGGGTTGATTTGGGGGGGTTGAAAAGTTTTGAAATATTGTATCATTGGGATTTCTGGCTAAAGTTGACGTCAATCAAAAAAAATACCCAATACAACTTTTGTAGAGGTCAGTTTTTAACATAACCTCAAAATTTCCGAGAAAAATGCGAAAAACAGGTTTTTTTCTGATGTTTCCTTTTTTATTTCTCATTTCCGCAGAAATAATTTAATTTTGACGAAACTTGGTGAAAGTATACCATTCTCTGTCTTAAATAACCTCAAAATTTTCTAGATAAAAAATCAAGTAGTTTCTGAGATATTCATTTTTTCGGCCTGAAACACTTTTTTTTTCAAAGAAAAATTCTACTTAAAAAAATCATCGGACAGAGTTCTGCGGGTAGGTAATCATTTTTTTCGTTGTGATATATACTTTTTGATAAAATAAAAAATCTGTAATAACAGTTAAAAAAAATGCTCAAAAATGCTCAAAAATGCAAAAAAAATAAAAAATTACTTGCAACAATGAATTTTCAGTTATTGTTGATAATTTGTTTAAATTTAAAAACATTCGAAAACTGATTACACTATTCAATTCTACGGAAAAAAATTTAAAAAAACTGTCTCATTGTTTGACTCAAAACTTTATTTTTATACAGTATTGCTATAAACATAAGTCGAATAGTGAATAAAATAAATAATATTTTTTTTTCGTGGGATCGATTAGTGTACTTATTTTTTTGAAAGTTTGATAAATTCATAGATATACAGTGTGTCCAAGATAAGGATGGGATTTTTCCGTACAATTGAATGGTGTAATCAGTTTTTGATTTTTTTTAAATTTAAACAAATTATCGACAATTACAGAAAAATTCATTGCTGCAAGTCATTTTTTACGTTTTTGCATTTGTGAGCATGTTTTTGAACTGTTATTACAAATGTTTTTATTTCACCAAAAAGTATATGTCAAAACAAAAAAATGTTCGCCGGCAGAACTCTGTACGATGATTTTTATAAGAAGAATTTTTCTTTGAAAAAAAAGTGTTTCAGGCCGAAAAAAATGAATATCTCAGAAACTTCTTGATTTTTTTATCTAGAAAAATTTGAGGTTATTTAAGACAGAGAAGGGTATACGTTCACCAAGTTTCGTCAAAATTAAATTATTTTTGCGGAAATGAGAAATAAAAAACGAAAATTCAGTGAAAAACCTGTTTTTCGCATATTTCTCGGAAATTTTGAGGTTATGTTAAAAAATCTCTACAAAAGTTGTAGATTTTTGCATGATCTACAACTTTTGTATTAGATACTCTTTTGTTTGACGTCAACTTTCGCCAGAAATCCCAATGATATAATTTTTGATAACTTTAACAATTTTCTTTTTTTTTCCTTCTAAATGAGTTATTTTGATTGGTCTAATATAACATATTTTTATTATTTTATTGTAAGATAAAATTTCATGAAAAAAAAACCACAAATATGTACTTACAACTGTTAGATTTTTATCAAACAGCAGAGATTTAAAATAGTCCGAATTTAAATTACTTATATCGCGCAGACCGATATAAATATAAAACAAAGTTAATTAGGAGTTTTACACCTCGATTAAGTACTTGAATTAGTACCCAATAATCACCTAATCTAGTGAAACCGGCAAAAATATTTTAAGATCAACGACCGTGTCTTAGTAATCGAAT